CGGTAGCTGCAGCGGCTGCAGCCTCAGTAACCTCTGCATATCTCTCATCAAAGGTCTCAATCAATGTGGTCTTAATAGACCCAAACATCTCCGGAATCTCTGCGCGGATAGCCGCAGCCACCTCCTCATGGATCATCTGACGAAGCTCCTCGTCACTCACACCGCTGGTCTCTGGTCTGTGGCGTGTCCCAACCATGATGTCTCTGAAATACAACATAAGAAATATCAGAGACTCGCTCGAGCATACTCACACTCGGTAACTCATCCCTACTTGTTCCTTTGTACCCTAAGGATTCTTACTTGGGCTGCGCACTGATCCGTTGTCTTCAGTAGTACGGGCCCAATACTACCATCCACACCGCATCAATATTCACCCCAAGTCCTCCTCCGAGGATCCCAAATCCCAAGTATTCTACTCTCACTATGCATAGGCTACTCTCTAGCAGACCTCTCATAAGCTCCTCGCTGCTATCTAGTCACTCTCAAGCATCTCCCAGCAGCAAAACCCCTAGGCTAAGGCATCACGAATCAGGCCACTCTAGTCCTAATAAGAATACCTAGCCTACTCTAGCATGCATAACATATCATATCATATCTTATAACACATAATATAAGGGTATTTTGGGAAATCACCGTTCGGGCGCTGGCTGATCGTGCACACTACTCTGCTCTACTCTTTTCAAAACTTTTTATTCCTTTAGAAAGATTTTGTTTTATTTCGAAAAGTTTCTCAAATCCTCAGTTTGAGTTCAAATGCGCCCGAAGGTGCATCCGAATCCCTCAAACCAAGGCTCTGATACCAACTTGTAACATCGTAAATTCCAAATCAATTTTTCACTTTAAAAATATATAATTTCATTCATAAATATTATCAATCTCCATGTATCACATATCAAATCCATAAAAATTATCCCAAGATCACAATACATAAAAACTCCACAAGTGTGTACTGATCATGTCGGCGCCTTCCCACGATCCTCACTAGTACCTGAAACACATAACACAAAACACTGTAAGCATAAATGCTTAGTGAGTTCCCCAAAATACCACATATAACACCTAATAGCCACTCGAGGCTATAACTCTGTGGGCCCACTGGCCCTAACTCTTTTGGACCCACTGGTCCTAACTCTGTGGACCTTCCGGTCCTCACTCTGTAAACTATGGAATACACACAGCACAAATCACATAGAAATAATGCAGTGCAACACATCACATACATAGCATACAAGATACTCGGTCACATAACTCTACTTACCACTCAAGGTAAAGTATAGTGAGATGACTCACCTCGGATAGCTCGGTAAACCTCGAACTCGGAAATACTGATCTAGCCTTCGCCTAATCACATAAAATAATTAATCTAATTAATACGATTTTCAAAGACTAGGCTAATCCCTCTCTAAGTTCTCTAAGAAGGGTAAAAGACCATTCTACCCCTCCAATGGCTCACAAGTCCAAACATTGACTCATCCCTAAAAGTCAACGAGGTCAACTCTAGTCAACGGTCAAACTTTGACCAGACTCGTCGAGTGCATCCGGGTGACTCGGCGAGTCCACGCGGGTCCTCTAAATCCTTCTAAGCCTCACTTGGCACGTCGAGTCCCTCCTCCACTCGCCGGGTTTCTCTGCAACGAATCGCGGGGCAACCCCGACTCGACTCGTCGAGTCCACTTATGAACTCGGCGAGTTGCTCCCATGACAACACTCAAATGACCTTCTGAGTTCAGATCTGCTTCTCAAAACTATATATCTGACTTCCCCACGACCAATAACCACGTAAAGGTCGAATCTTGACTCACATGCAACGCACCCAAGGCTTCTTTTGGTGAAATAACTACTAAAATGGCCACCTAGGCTCATAACCTCAAAGGAGTGGCATAAAGCAGAGTCATAGGGGCTCTCTGGACCTCTTAAGGTCCAGATCTAAGAACCATTTCACCTTGGGACCTCACACACTCCAGATTCAAGCTAAATAATGCATAAAGAAACCCTAGATTCAACTAAATCATCATAAATACGAGAATAAGCACAGATTGATACCTCCAACCGCTTCCTCCGATCAAATGGAAGTAGATCCAAGCTCCCCAACCCGCCTAGCTTGTCCTTCCTCCTTCCTTCTTGCTAAAGCACACAAGAAATGGTGAACAATGACCTCCTTTCTCACTCACAAGACTCACAGATGCTCTGGTACTCTCAAAGACGAAGGTAGCCGCAAATAAGGGCCATAAGGTCCTTTCAATAGGGTGCAGGCCCGGGGATTTAGGGTGTCAGCCCACAGCGCAGACTCGTCGAGTTCACCCTTTCCGACTCGTCGAGTCCATTCATTAATCCAGTCAGCATTCGCAATCCTACTCGACGAGTCTAAGCGTCAACTCGTCGAGTCCCTCTCTTTAACTCAAAATAAATGATCAAAACATAATACCTGGAAATCCGGATGTTACACTAAGCTTTGTGGTTACGGTTTTCAGTTTCTGTTTCAGGTACTTCCAGTTCAAAGGGGAAGGTACCGGCCTGATCGCACAGCATCACCCTATGCTTTCCGCATTTTGAGATTGGGAATTTGTACTCTGATAAAATGTTGCTATGATACACTTTTGACTATTTTTGTATTAGTATCGTATGATTTGAATGAATTTAAAACAAATTTTTATCCATATTTTTGGGATGTTACAAACTGGTTTAGGATCAATTTGGGAGAATGTCGTTACATGGACTTCATCGAAATTCATGGGTTCCATAATAGTTATAAAATTTTATTTTAGTTAATAAAAAAAATATGGAATAGTAAATAAAGAAGACAATTAACAGTATTGAGTTAAAAAAGAGCTTGCAAGTTTTGGAATTACAATAAAAATAATAATAGAGGATAAGGCGGCTTTAGCCAAAAGATTGTATCAAATTGAAATAATAAATGCTTTTTAGAAATTTGTATTATAAGGTAACTGGTACTTAATATGCTTAACATTGGATAAATATACACTGAGATCTAGAAAATGGGACATTAGTATTGTCTAAAAGGCTTATATTGAATGTGTTGTTGCATGTTATAAGATGGAACAATGCTCCATCCTAATTTCTGCCACATTTAAAGGAGACATGTTTTGTACTTTTCTATGGATGAAAGAAAAAGAAAAGATGAGAGTGATATCTAATTCTTTTGTAGTGGGAAGCCTAATGTGTTCTCAAGTTTGTACTTTCCCTTGTATCCCATATATTACTGGAATGCTAATACAATATCAATCTAATCCCATCATAGATAATTGGAAAGAAGCAAAGAAAGTGTTGCATTATATTCAAGAACAAAAGTCTACAAAATAACTTATAGAAGAACTGATAATTTAGACGTGACTATATTTTATGATTCATACTTTGCTAAAATGTACAATTGATAAAATCTAAATTTCGGGGTACATCTTCATGTTAGTAGGTTTTCCTATCTCGTGGAGGACTCATAAGCAACAACAAACAACGATCTTGTCAATGATGACCGAATATGTTGTGGTTTATAATGCAATTTTCCATGGAATGTTGTTGAGAAAACTTATTTGTAGAATCAAATTCATGAACTCCATATCAATATCATTACAGAGTTAGTAGGAAAAATCGGATGCCTTAGTTTCTCAAAGAGAAATAGTTCGAGCAGTATCAGATTACATCTTGATACAAAGTTCTTGTTCATACAAGAGTGAGTAGAAGAGAATAATATTTTGTATCAATTAGATTAGCATCCATGATATCCTCCATGAAAGAGGTCTACTATGAAGAGTTTTCAAGAGCTTGTAACGGAAATGGGCTTTACTAGAGGTCTTATGTGATAAAATATTGCTCTTATTGACAATCAATGTCATTATAAGTTTCCTCGAATATCGTAATTACTTTGTCTACACTACTGGATGCATGAACTTATTAATATATAGATAAATATATACAATTTAATGTTGTATATTGTCTATGACCGCGGCTTAAGTTTTCTGAATATTTTGTGTTAAGGCCTTAATTTTATTGTTGGGAGTCTCGTGTTCACAACAACACAAATACGTTATATTTTTCTATGGAATTAATATGGAATTTAATGGGTATGACATTGGTAAAACTTTTGAATACTTATCAAAAATAGAGTAGATCAAATAGGAGAATGTGAGATAAAATAGTTTATGTAATAACTATATAAATGATACCATATTTACATATAGTGAGAGTAACTATGAAAATATGACATAATTGGTACCGCACCTTAACAAATTGATACTTGATGGAAGTAGATATATTATATAAGTGGGTTGACTAATTTATCTTTTGATATCTCTCACATATTTTGAAGAACGCACATGTATTCTATCAAACTCTCAAATTCCCAAAAGAACACCATAATTATTTATTGATTATTTTCCCTATAATCGAGACATAATTAGAATCATGGATTTGTTTCCAACGTGAAACATCTCAATGAAATTAGTTATCCAAGTACGCTCACAAATAAACTCATTCCGAGAAGATGGATGGCTGCGACATAAGAAGAATCAAAAAGGCTTTTCTACAATATATTCAGACATTGCAATGTATTACGTATCTAATCTCCCCGATAATGTAAGCAAATACATGATTAAAGAAGCATTCCAGGTTTATGGAAAGGTGGTGGATATCTATATTGGAGGCAAGAGAGAAATATCCGTTTCACTGTTCGTCGGGATTCTTTCTTTGATGATATGCCCTAAACCACTTTCAGAAGACCGAGGAGAAGGGCTTGGGCTTGTTGTTGAACGAGATGGGGGGCTTTTTTCCTTCTTAGTAACGGTCTTACTCTATAAAATGACTTTTTGAAAACAGCTATTGCTATCAATACCATATTAAACAAAAAGCAAATGAACTCAAGGAGCACCAGCATGTGGGGCCTGGCCTGAAGGTGATATTAATACCACTCCGGCCCCTGCAGCCCCCAAAGTGGTAGATGTGTAAGATTCAGAAGTGTTTGCGATGCGAAGATATTGGAGAAAGATATGAATAAAGTGAGATGGGAGCATTGTATTCTGAAGGTAAATATAGGAAGGTATGAAAAGCAAGGTAATCCAATGAAGATGGATTGGAATCATGTGAAGGAGTTCACTCCCCCTCCACCTCCTATAAAGCTCGCCTCTGTATACGCTAAGGTATGGCCACTCAGAAGTAATAGGATGTTTGAAGTAGCAGTAAAAGGAATGGAGACAGGTAATGTTATCACTCATTCACGTCGAATGATCGCTTTAAAACCAATTGAAAAAGTTTCCCAATGGGGAGAAAGTGTATTGGTGGGAGAAGTATGTAATGCTCAATTCATCTCAAGCATCCCTACAATCATGGAAAGATATGGCAACCATAGTGTAAAAGTTTATTACATAGGTGGATTAAAAATACTAATCGTTTTTGTCAATCAGAAAGAAGCGGAAGCGTTCTATGTGGATGACTCAAATTGGAATAGGTGGTTTAAATGGTTGAAAAAGGTATTTGATGAAGACACCGGTGGAGAAAGAATAACATCGGTCAAAATAAATGGTGTTCCTGTTAGATTTCCTTCCGAAGAGAATTACGCACGCATCACTGAGAACTTTGGGAAACCAATATAAACTTTTGGACGCACCTTGAAAGTCTTTGATATATCAACCGGTCAAGTATGCATTCTAACGAAATCAAAGATGATTATAAATGGAGAGGTGGACATTTATATGATAATAAGAGATATATAGCTGGAACGGTTGAATATGATAGAGATTGGGCACCATTCGATAACAATACCTGGAATCAAGGTTGTAACATGAATGATGATCAAAATGGTGAGGAAAAAGATGAGGACGATTCAATTAACTCGGTGGGGGAAGAAAATTCTGACTCTGATGATGATGCCGTCTCAGCAACATGTGAGAATCCAAAGAAACAAAGCGATGAAACTAAAGAAGGTGAAATTGTGGAAGAAAGTGAAATAGATGATGAATCCCTACGATCCCCACTTCAGGATCCGACAGAGGATCACACAGTCGTAAATCGGTGAAGACGCAATTATGGTGGAAGGCGAATCGACATTTGTAATCAATACATACATGATTTCTAAAAGAAACTTAATGGAAAGTAGCTCTGAAGTACACTCCAATGAAGCCAATAAAGATTCCACCCGATCTGGTGGGCCCTACCACCCAGGCCCATTTCAACTATCCCTCTCCCAGGCGGTGATGAATGGTCCACAACTCCGGATAATCCTCAATTTGACAACTCGCCTCCGAAATTCTATATGGGTGGGTCAATTGATAAAAGAAGTAGAATCAGTAAATCGAGACCTCCCTCCTCCACAGCTCCAATGAATCGATCAATTTATTGGGTATATGATACACAACAAGGTATTGTGGCAACAACTCTGACCCCCCCCCCCCCTCGATAGACTTAAACCTCACGTCGTCTCTCCATAGCTCAAGTAATCACAGTTCGATTGGCAAATATTCTCCGCCTAATGAAATGTTAAGTCTCATAAGATAGGCAAAGATGTTGGTTTTCATCTTGCAAGTGATGATCCAATCGTCATCGATATCATCAACTGTGAGGATGGGGTGGAAAAAACTCGTCAATAAACTGTTTATGTCTAAACATAATGGGGTGTGGGGAAACTCACAAGATCGATTGTATATGAAGATTAAAGAACACACAAAAGGTTGATTTTATAGGATTACAAGAAACATAGTTGGCAGACGCAAACGTGATCGATTTTGAAGGAGCTTGGGGTAATGTAGATTACAATATAGAGTCTATGAACTCAATTGGTAGATCTGGTGGAATTGTCAGCATATGGGGCCCCTTGATTTTTGTTAAATCCAACACATTCTCTTCAAGACATTTTCTCACCATATCAAGTCAATGGTCATTCTTTCTTGTAGTTACAACTATTGTTAACATATATGTACCCCAATCAGTTAGGAAAAAAAGGAAACTTTTGGCATATCTCCTCGAGTTAAAAAGAAGTATTAATGGAATTTGGGTATTTCTTGGCGATTTCAGTGCAGTCCGTCATGAATGTGAAAGAATAAATTCCAGGTTCTGTAAAACTACAGTCATCGATTTCAATAATTTCATCGCCAAATCTAGTCTTCAGGAAGTCAATCTTGGTAGTAAAAAATTCACGTATATGTCTGATGAAGGATTAAAACTTAGTAAATTACACATATACTTGGTCTATTATAACTTCATTGCCCAACAACCTTTCTCCATTGTAATAGTGTTGCCTCATGAACACTCAGATCATACACCACTGGTTCTTAAACCATCGAATCAAGATTTTGGGCCACCCCCATTTCGATTCTTCAATTCTTGGTTGCACGAAGAAGACTTTGATTCGACTTTTATAGAGGCATGGAACTCCTTTAGAGGTTTTGGTACCCATTACATGTTCTTAAAAGCTAAAATTTGCTTTATCAAAAAATCTATTAGCAATTGGAGGAAAATTTATGTTGCTAATGAATCAATGACGTTGACCCAACAAAAGAAGAGAGTGGATGAATTAGAGAACGTTGTTGAATCGATAACACTGTCAGAGGCAGAATTAACTAAAAGAAGAGACATCAAGGCCAAGATTTGTGAATTGGAGAAGCTCGCAAAACTAGATATCCAACAAAAGGCCAAGATTCGTCGGTTATCTGATGGAGATGAAAACACACATTTTTTCCATAACACCATCAAGAGCAATAACATAAAAAATGGGTTACATAGATTATTAATTAATGGAGTTTGGAACATTGAACCAACATATATCAAACGGGAGGTAAATTTGTTCTTTGGTAATAAGTTTCATGAAAGGTGACCGATAAGACCGACATTGACCAGCAACGATTTCAAAGTGCTATATGTGGATCAAAAAGAGCTTCTAGATGCACCAATCTTGCATAAATAAATAAGGCAAGATATATGGGATTGTGGTGGTGACAAATCCCCTGGTCCAGATGGATACACGTTCAAAGTATTGAAAAATAAATGGGACCTAATGAAACATGACATTTTTCGATTTGTATATCATTTCGAGTCCTATGCAAGATTTGCTAATGACTGTAACTCCTCCTTCATAACCCTCATTCCGAAAACCAAAGATCCGTTAAACCTTGGAGACTATAGACCCATTAACCTTATTGGAAGTATGTACAAGATCGTAGCCACGATTCTTGATTCAAGACTGAGACGAGTCGTGGGAGCGGTGGTGGACGAAATACAATCATCATATATTAAGGGTAAACATATCCTAGAGGGACCATTAATCATAAATGAAGTGCGTTCATGGGCCAAGAAAGCAAAAGAAAATATCTTTTATTAAAGGTTGATTTTGAGAAATCTTTTGATTCTTTGAATTGGAATTATTTGGACTTGATCATGGAACATATGGGTTTCAGTTGTAAATGGTGTGGGTGGATACAAGGCTGTCTCACATCGGCTAGAGCATCTGTGCTAGTCAACGGCTCTCCAACGGAAGAATTCCCTATCACCAAAGGGGTACGACAAGGTGATCCGCTCTCATCCTTTCTTTTAAACTGCCTTAAAATAGACATCATTCAAGGTCTTACCTTACCCCACAATGGTCCTACTCTATATCACTTATTCTATGCTGATGATGTAGTTACGATGGGTATATGGAGTGAAGTTAACATAAACAACCTAGCTAGAATTCTTAATAGCTTTCCTGTATGCTCTGGTTTGAAAGTAAATTTTCACAAGTCACATTTATTTGGAATTGGTGTGATGGAATTAGAGGTACATTCTCAAGATCAGGTGATAGGTTACCCTAAAAGCTCATTACCTTTCAGTTCTCTCGGAGTGTCGGTGGGTGCAAATATGGAATTGAAAAAGAATTAGAGACCGGTAATTGGCAAATTTCAATCAAGGCTTTCCACTTGGAAAGCAAAAACCCTATCACGTATGTCTGGCTCCAATGAAAGTATATTATTTTGGAAGGACTGTTGGTGTGGGTCTTTAACAGTACAAGAGCGTTTTCCCAGATTATACGAGATGGAAAATGACAAAACTATGTATGGTATCTGCCAGAGTAGTCGCATTAGGTTTTCGTTCGTGTTGGAAGTCACAAATTATGGAGAAAGAGGTTATGGATGATCTACATCACCCCAAATTTTTATAAAAAAAACAAAAACAAAGAAAGAAGGGGTCAAGTCAAATTGTCTTTATGTAACATGCTTCAGGAGGTCAATACGCAACCAACATAGAATGGATTTCACTTCAATTTAAGTGCAGGTCTTAGATGTACCGTTTGTACTCTACGCAAAAAAATTGACACCAATCTCAATCCTTGCGAAGGAAATTAGATATGCTGGTTGAAAGCAATACCATTGAAAATCATGAGTTTCGTTTGGACGGCGGCTATGAAAAGGATACATATAGCAAAAAAACCTGGAAGAGAGAGGAGTTATAGTTCAATAAAACATTTGTCCCATATGCAATATGGTTCCGGAATCTTGTGATCATTTGTTAATCAAATGCGATATTGCGGTGGAGGTTCGGAAATGGATCCTAAAGTAGTGTGGAATTCAAGATTGTCCGTTTGAAAATGTTAATGAATTCCTTAACTTTGCAGCAGCTTGGGAAAATTGGCCAAGAAAGAGAGAAAGGGTAACAATGGCGATATATGGACTTTTATGGTTTATTTGGTTAGCCAGGAACAACAGGAGGTTCAAAGGGATTCACACTAATCCTAAAAAGATTGTTGATGATGTGATTTCACAAAGCTACTCATGGTTCAAGTTCAGAACTAATTTTGTGAAATGTAGGTGGATAGATTGTAGTCTCTCTCCCTTTTGTTAGCTATGTTACTTATTTCTCTTTCAATATTTTCTCTTTGTACTGCTACCCTCGTTTTAACTACTTGTTAATCGAGTGGCTTTTAATACATATTTCTCGTTTCCAAAAAAATCCAAGACGCTCACTCTAATGTTATATTGAGGATTCATTTTTTAAAACGATTAGAAAAGTGAATGAGACAAATTGATTTTTGAAAATTAATCAACACGGTTCACAAATAAGTGCTCCTCAGACTCTTGCACATCTTTTTATAACAGATAGCACACACATGGTGTCTTCTACTTGTATTCAATGGCGAGTCAAATTTGAGGTTGTTATTTATCTATCCGATGCATTTTTAGTTGTGAATTTTCGGTCGCTAATTTTATCAGTGATGATAATAATGTGATAGATTTTAATGGAAATTTGCTTATCTAACAATCATATTTGAAGTTTTATGTTCAATAATTTTTATGTTTATTAGGCAAATTCTATCGTTCACACAACGGTAAATGAAGAGCAAACCGTAGTTATTTGGTGTCATGTTAAACTAAACACATTACGAGACAATTTTTTAATACCAAACATATCATATAGTTGAATCATATACTTGCAAAATAAAATTAAACTTCTATCACCTACCATTTTATGTAATATTAAATAGGTGACAATGCTTAAATACCAAACACATCAAATAAGTAGTTGATACAGTTTCAATATAAGAAAAAACTTTCATTCATCGACCATTTTTATGTAATAGTTCATTAATGAGTTAATGAAACGTAACGTATTATCTAACACATAATTAAATAACTTTTGATGAATGGATGATTATATTCTTCCTAATGGCGACGAACTCACTAGATGGATAGTAAATGTATTGATGTTCCTTATGTTGTTCACGTATTATTTTTTTATAAAAAATTAAAATCATTTAAACAATATGTTTGCAATCTTAACAATATATTTTTTTTATATTTTCTTTTACAAGTAGTATTAAGAAAAACTCTATCATTTGATTTTTGAATTTGAATAAAAAAAATTTCGTTATATTTTATAAAAACAATATTTCTTAAAATTAAAAATAAATACCTCAAAAACATTTTTTTTCCAAAAATTCTTTTTAGAAAGTCAGTAGTATAATGAGTAGAAGTATCCCTTACATTTTCATGATATTTAGAAAAAAAATTTCTGGGGTATTTTTATAAAAGAAAAATTAAAAAATAATTT